TCAGGTTTAAGTCCCCACCAGCGTAGAAAAACCTGTACACACACAAAATGAATATAGATGACCTTATATATGTATGTATGTTTATATATATATATAATATGGTTTTAATTGTCCCAGACTATTAATATATGAACATGTTTTTATATTAATATAAAAACATGTTCATATATTAATAGTCTGGGACAATTAAAACCATATTATATATATATATAATATGGTTTTAATTGTCCCAGACTATTAATATATGAACATGTTTTTATATTAATATAAATTTTTTAAATTAAAAATTGTTTTAAAAACTAAACAAGTGAAATAAATTCAAAACCTATTATGTGAAAATGATTTTTAAACAATTTTACGCGCATTGCAACGGACCAGTTTTTCCACTAATAAAATTTGATCAAAAGTGTAGCTGTTTGTCAGTAAAGAGGTGAAATATGAAACGTCGTATGTGATGGTGCGGCATGAGAAACGAGAGGCACGGCTGCGATCAATGGACAAGGCCCCATGAGTTGGTGTGTATTCAGGTTTAAGTCCCCACCAGCGTAGAAAAACCTGTACACACACAAAATGAATATAGATGACCTTATATATGTATGTATGTTTATATATATATATAATATGGTTTTAATTGTCCCAGACTATTAATATATGAACATGTTTTTATATTAATATAAATTTTTTAAATTAAAAATTGTTTTAAAAACTAAACAAGTGAAATAAATTCAAAACCTATTATGTGAAAATGATTTTTAAACCATTTTACGCGCATTGCAACGGACCAGTTTTTCCACTAATAAAATTTGATCAAAAGTGTAGCTGTTTGTCAGTGAAGAGGTGAAATATGAAACGTCGTATGTGGACCCTGGACCACAAAACCAGTCATAAGGGTCAATTTTTAAAAAATTGAGATTTATACATTATCTGAAAGCTGAATAAATAATCTTTCCATTGATGTATGGTTTGTTAGGATAGGACAATATTTGGCAGAGATACAACTATTTGAAAATCTGGAATCTGATCAAATCAAAAATTGAGAAAATTGCCTTTAAAGTTGTCCAAATGAAGTTCTTAGCAATGCATATTACTAATCAAAAATTAAGTTTTGATATATTTACGGTAGGAAATTTACAAAATATCTTCATGGAAATTATCTTTACTTAATATCCTAATGATTTTTGGCATAAAAGAAAAATGGATCATTTTGACCCATACAATGTATAAAGCGACTTAAGACTCTTTTTGTGCTCCAGGGTCACATATGTGAAGAAAACCAAAAAAAAAAAAAAAGAGCAAGGCATATATCACTTGTGAACAAAATGCTTTTAATTTGTGTCATTTCCAATCACTGTATTCGTACTTTTGGATATGTTTAAAGGTCAAATGTGACTCGGGTTCTTGGGTAATTTCCATCTTCACGGTCTAGACCTGATAGGTTATCAGGGCCACTGCTGGCCAAATGGGTGCCCTAAGCAGAATTATATTGTTGTGCCCCCTCCAGTGCTTGACGGTACCGCTTCATCCTCTTTTGTAACAAATTTCAGCATTGACCCTGCATTAAATGAAGCAGAATATATTAGTCACTGAAGAATTACTGAGTGCACTTTTAAATAAACAGTTATTGTTAGTTTAAAAAAAAACAAAGTAAATTAAGAGCAGTCAGTGTAATAAAAGTTAACAAAAAAGAGAGTTACCTCCTATGGCTATGATTTTATTAATACAGTTTTAATATGTTTATTAATACAGTAATACAGTCTGATTGATTTTATAGTCTCAAGCATTCAGAAATCACACAAAAGGAATTTGTAATAATATGTAATGTACATAAATTGTTTATTTTGTATTACATTATGCATTTTTAACGGTGTCATTCAATGAAACCATATGATTATTATTAATTAACCAATCATTATTGCCTCATTGTTTTTAGTGCATTTCAAGTCAAGGCTGTTGTTCGCTTAGGTCTGTTTTTAGGCTATTACCACAAAAAATATATATATTATCTGAATATGTCTTTGTAAATTATTATTTGAAGTAACAAAACCATTGTTAATTTGTGGTTACCATGGCTACAAGAACCATGATTTTAGGTTTTTATTCGTAGTAAAACCATGGCTAATTTTTGTTAGGGAACATGGAAACTCAGAGAGAATATTTATATTATATTAATTAATATAATATTAATTAGATGCGTTGGTGGTAGTGAAATTATTACCAACATTAAAATACGTTATTAAAGGTCAACAACCAAAAAAAGTTTCACAGGATTATGAATGTGCCTGAAAGTGATGCACAGACTTCATTTTCACTTTTTTTTTCTTCTCTAGGCGCCAGATTGCTGATGTCTTTTCACGGGCATAGTTGTCCATCAATTATGATTATTTGCATTCCGCCACAAACATGAGGTGAGAGCGGTCGCGAGCGCGGATTAAGTGCTCTAATTTAGACACAATATTGTCTATGTTGACCATTTTTGCTCGATTTGGTTAACAAAAATAGTGCCAAACAAAGATCACAGCAGAATGAATGGTGATTCAGCGTTTTTGAATGAATTGGGCAAGTCAGTGATTCAATGATCCATCATAAAGACATGCGCACTTGCAAAATTCGTTTGAATGAACGACTCAATAACACACTCATTAAGGCAGTCACTTGCTGCCACCTACTGGCGGTTTATAAGTAGCTTGTATTTTTTTCAACATTTCATATTGGTATATTAACAAAAAATTATTTAAAGGGTTCATATGATGCGATTTAAATTTTTCCTTTCTCTTTGGAATGTTACAAGTTCTTGGTGCATAAAGAAGATCTGTAAAGTTGCAAAGACTAAAGTCTCAAATCCAAAGAGATATTCTTTATAAAAGTTAAGAGTCAGCCACGCCCCCCTAAAACGGCTCGTTCTAACACACCCCCACATATCTACATCACTATGTGGGAAGATTTGCATAACGCCCCCCAAATGTTCACGCAAAGAAAGAAGGCGTAACTTTTATTCTCGCTGTAGTATTGTTGCCGCCGCTGCTGCTATGTCGTGAAGACGTTGTGTGCTTCATTGTGAAAACGAAACTACTTTGTTTGGTCTTCCAAAAGAGGACGATATCGCTTCGTCATGCCTAGAGCTGATCCGTGCTGGTCGCTGAGGAAATACTTCATCTTCGCGCTGTGGATCGCTGGATCGGCTTTCACCGTGGACGAAGCGGAGTCCAGCCCGGGGTCGTCACATGTGGCTGCCACAGGCATCACAGTATGGTGAGGGGCGTAACATTTCTGTCACACGCTTGAGGAATTCGGCCAATCACAACGCACTGGATAGCTGGCCAATCACAGCACACCTCGCTTTTTCAGACCGATGAACTTTGTAAAAATCGACGCGTTTCAGAAAGACGAGAAATAGAGGAGAAACAATAATGTACAGTATGTGGAAAATAATGTGTTTTTTTAACCTTAAACTGCATAAACACATTTCATTACACCAAATAATGTTCTTTTTTGCAGCATCATATGACCCCTTTAAAACACATAATATTTATGCAGTTGTAATTTTGCAGTGAAAATGCATTCATGCAACATTTCAGCATCATTAAACCATTAAAAACTAAAAAAAAAAAATGCAATTTTCTTGAAACTACATAAAACCCACGTCAGACTAGCAGAATTGTCCCAAATGTTGTCCCAATGAGTCAAAAACAGTCTGAACAAAGAATTTCATATTCCTGAAAAGTTAATATTTGTGAGTTCCCAACATGCATTGCAACAAAGTATGTAGTTACTGTTATAGGATTATTTTTGGCAGTTTGATGACTTCATTAAAAAAATTTTTTTTGTTGATCTCAGTATTGTTAGTTATTTGCTGTGTTGTGTCAATATTTTACATTTGTTGATTGTCACCGTTCTTCAGATTAGTGTCAAGTGTTGAGGCCTAGAAAAATCGACGCGTTTCAGAAAGACGAGAAATAGAGGAGAAACAATAATGTACAGTATGTGGAAAATAATGTGTTTTTTTAACCTTAAACTGCATAAACACATTTCATTACACCAAATAATATTCTTTTTTGCAGCATCATATGACCCCTTTAAAACACATAATATTTATGCAGTTGTAATTTTGCAGTGAAAATGCATTCATGCAACATTTCAGCATCATTAAACCATTAAAAACTAAAAAAAAAAATGCAATTTTCTTGAAACTACATAAAACCCACGTCAGACTAGCAGAATTGTCCCAAATGTTGTCCCAATGAGTCAAAAACAGTCTGAACAAAGAATATCATATTCCTGAAAAGTTAATATTTGTGAGTTCCCAACATGCATTGCAACAAAGTATGTAGTTACTGTTATAGGATTATTTTTTGCAGTTTGATGACTTCATTAAAAAAAATTTTTTTGTTGATCTCAGTATTGTTAGTTATTTGCTGTGTTGTGTCAATATTTTACATTTGTTGATTGTCACCGTTCTTCAGATTAGTGTCAAGTGTTGAGGCCTAGAGTATGTTCAGCAATGTAAAAACTATATCTAATATTTCTTTACTTTGTAAGGATGATTGTTAGGCTTGTTATAAACATAGCATGGCTCACTTAACACATGCAAGATATTTAGTTGTCTTCATTAATTATTATAATGGCTGAATGAGGCATTTTGCATTTAGTTAACAAATTCAAATCGACAGAACACATTAGGTTTACTTAGTACAATTATTATAACAATAGTTGAGAGAGAACTTAAAACTTTGACCGCATCAAATTGCCTTGACATTTCAAAATAAGGATAAAAAGGTCCACTTAAAAAAAAAAGACATGGTCAGAGTTTTCAAAACGGTTTTAATGTGACCTTTATAGAATAAAAATATGAAATCGGTTTAAATTAGATGAGGAAACACTTCAATTGGCAAAAATTTGTGCTGTCGTGGCTTGGTTCTAAACAATTACACTCATTTTTAAGTGTAACTTAAATGTCAAAATAGATTTGGGGACTTAAAAAAGGCTGATGATGCATCTGTGAAGCACTAAGTGTAGGAAAAGTTAGCAGTGTAGCAGTGCACACAAAGGACGGAGGCATCTTTCTGGGAAGCAGGATTTAGGTCTCGGGGAATGTGCGTGGATCAGATTCACCGCCCACACTGAAAACGGTTTTAATGTGACCTTTATAGAATAAAAATATGAAATCGGTTTAAATTAGATGAGGAAACACTTCAATTGGCAAAAATTTGTGCTGTCGTGGCTTGGTTCTAAACAATTACACTAATTTTTAAGTGTAACTTAAATGTCAAAATGGATTTGGGGACTTAAAAAAGGCTGATGATGCATCTGTGAAGCACTAAGTGTAGGAAAAGTTAGCAGTGTAGCAGTGCACACAAAGGACGGAGGCATCTTTCTGGGAAGCAGGATTTAGGTCTCGGGGAATGTGCGTGGATCAGATTCACCGCCCACACTGAGAGCAGATCGGTTCCTCCACACACCAAAAGTTACTGAAACTTCACACAACACTTTCAAACCCGTTCAACCGGGCGTCACGGTAAGCAACGCTTCTCCATTAAACCGCACAATATGCGATGATCATCTTCTCGCGCTCGTCTTTGTCGTTTTCTTAGAGAGTTGTTGAAGAGACCGAGTCTGCTGGGGTTTTAACTTCGTACTGTTGCGAAATCCACTGCGCCTTTGTGATGGCTAGATGCATTGCTTTTTCTCAGCAATAAACAATGCTTTCTGTAGACCTTGTGAGGTTAGATGCTTGAGCAGTACAGTTTACAGAGTTTGTCACTTTTCTCTTTATATTTTACAGTTAGTTCTTTTGCAAGTGTTATGCAAACTGGAGTGTGCAAAAAGTTGCTGGATGTGGATCCATGAGCATGATGTCCAAAAACCTGTAAACAATCCTTTAAATACATGTTGTGACGTCACGACGATTATGTTGTTTGTATATTAGTGTAGCCTACTACATTACATGCTGTGCAGTATACATTGGCTTAAAAACAGTATGCAATATGCAAATATGAACAGTTAGTATGCATTGTCCCATGACATTTTACAGTTAGTTCTTTTGCAAGTGTTATGCAAACTGGAGTGTGCAAAAAGTTGCTGGATGTGGATCCATGAGCATGATGTCCAAAAACCTGTAAACAATCCTTTAAATACATGTTGTGACGTCACGACGATTATGTTGTTTGTATATTAGTGTAGCCTACTACAGTACATGCTGTGCAGTATACATTGGCTTAAAAACAGTATGCAAATATGAACAGTTAGTATGCATTGTCCCATGACCTGAGGAACATGGATGTTTAATTCAGCCACTCCAGTTATCATCTTGAAAATAGTAGGCTAGTAGTTGTTCATACAAGTTCAAATGATTTGAAAATATTCATTAGTAAATGCATTTATCACCTCAATTGCATTCTGTTGTGTACTGCTCATGCAAATGTGTTATGATTTTGCATAGACCTATTAAAAAAAAAAATAATAATTTCCCGTGCACATGCAGTATACATATTATAACTGCAAAAATATTAAAAGTAGCATGCTTTTCTAAACATGCATTGTCTTCCTCTCAAAATTCTGTAGATGTTTAAGATCTAGTTCTTCATTGTCATAGCAACAAGAAGAGTCTAGTCTATTATTTGCCAATTTAGGCTATAGAGTGTGACATTCAGCTTCTGGAAGTAGAAACCCCATTCATTTTCTCCATTGGGGAATTTATTTTTAACAGTAACTTATGAACTATTAAAGACAGATCTGCTGTAAGCTGCGAGGTTGTTAAGCGATGGAATATGCTGTTGTTAAAGCCATCTGCCAGCATGATTTCAACTTTTTTTTTTTTAAATAATCATTTTTAATAGTGGAATTCCTGGTGGAAAAACGACATTATCCATGATTCCAAAGAAAAATCTCCACCAATCAATCACGACAAGCAAAATACGGCTAAAGAACACGCCCAAATCCTTTATGAATATTTTACAATAAATGTCAAATTTGTCATTTGCAATCCTTCGTGGTATTGTAGTTTTTTTTTTGCTTCAAGTCAAAGTTTGTAATGTTGTGATTCATTTCATAACTGGTTGGGTTGGTTCATGGCTTATAACCCTTAAACGGAGACTTTAAAATCCCTGTAAGAAAAACACTTCCAGAACCAAGAAAAACTGATGACTTGTACATGGGTTTCATTTGTTTCCCCTTTCCAGCCGGAATTCCCCTTTACAGAGTTTCTCAATGTTGCTTACTACTTCGATACGGTTTCATGACTCATTTGAAATAACACTAGTTAATATACAGTATTTAGTCTGCAGTCAGAGCACATGCCGCATTGGTTGCCGTTTATAAGTATGACCGAAGCTGGATTTTCTGATTAATTGAGTCTGTGGTCAGCTGATGAAGCCTCAGCTAGCTCCTGTTGTGTAAGTGCTTGTGTTCTTTTGGGTGCCATAGTTCACATTTAACTGATGTCAGCATCAGAACCACACTTCCTTCACAGCTACTAAGTTTACTTAGTAAACTTACTTTACACCACAAAAATTGGTCTTTTATAAACTGACTGGAATCTTCTGCCAGCTAGTGAAGTGAAGTGAAGTGACGTGACATGTGGCCGAGTATGGTGACCCATACTCGGAATTAGTGCTCTGCATTTACCCATCCAAAGTGCACACACAAACCGTGAACACACACCCAGAGCAGTGGGCAGCCATTTATGCTGCAGCGCCCGGGGAGCAGTTGGGGGTCCGGTGCCTTGCTCAAGGGCACCTCAGTCGTGGTATTGAAGGTGGAAGAGAGCGCTGTACATTCACTCCCCCCACCTACAATCCCTGCCGGTACAAGACTCGAACCCACAACCTTTGGGTTATGAGTCCGACTCTCTAACCATTAGGCCATGACTTCCCTGGATACTTAGTGTTAATTGGATACTTACACTTGCAGCCTCATTCAAGGACACTATTGCAAACCAGTTTTATTTTAGTATTATTTATATTATAGTATTTAGTAATATTACATTTTTATATTTTCATTTTTGTTAAAGTTTTAGTCATGTGCTTTTGTCATTATATTAAGTTTAACATTTCCATTTGGCTTTAATTTAGTTGTGTTTTTAGTGATTTTAGTACTTAAACTTTTTATTTCAGTTAGTTGCCAAGACAACATTTCAGTTTTTTTTGTTTATTTATAAAATGATCTGATTTTAAAGGTTTTTAAATTGTTTTATTTATTTTAAGTTAATGGGCGCCATAGTTCACACTTAAAGGGATACTCCACCCCAAAATGAAAATTGTCGTTAATCACTTACCCTCATGTCGTTCCAAACCCGTAAAAGCTTTGTTCGTCTTCGGAACACAATTTAAGATATTTTGGATGAAAACCGGGAGGCTTGTTTAACATGTAAGCCAGGACAAGGAGGAACGAGAATCCAAATGCAAGCACAGGGGTTTATTAAACACAAAAAACAAATAATCAGGAACATAATCTACACGGCGCCGGCAAGCGTGTAAACCAGAAACACACGTACAGGAACCAACAACTAAAACAAATAATCCAATCCATGAACCAGGGTACAATCCACATAGAGGAGTCAGGAACATAATCTACACGGCGCCGGCAAGAGTGTAAACCAGAAACACACGTACAGGAACCAACAACTGACAAACCACAACTGAAGCACAGACCTTATAACGTCTCCTCTGTGTCTCTCCGCATCACCGTAGCGCCATTTTGGAGAATATCCACTGAACGCAAGCAGTGTACGCTCTTCTGTGTCAGCCGCGACACAAGGATATGTTTTCTGCGTGTCTTCACTTTTTGATTTGAACGAAAACAACACATCTGTGCAGCGCGGACTATTCTGACGATGTCTTTCATACTTTTCTGGACCTTGACAGTGTAATTTACTTGGCAGTCAATAGGACAGTCACAAGCCTCCCGGTTTTCATCCAAAATATCTTAAATTGTGTTCCGAAGATGAACGAAGCTTTTACGGGTTTGGAGCGACATGGGGGTAAGTGATTAATGACAACATTTTCATTTTGGGGTGGAGTATCCCTTTAACTAAAGTTAAAGAACCATACTTCCTTCACAACTACTAAGAATATGCTTAATATTTTAATAGTTCAATCCCCTAAAATTTATATTATATAATATTAACTGTACCTGTAAATACTGCTACTTTGTTAGGTTGATTTGCAGACTCACAAATAAACTAATTTTAAGTGCACTATCCAAAACAAGTGTTATTTTAGTATTATTTATATACCATTATAATATTTATGAAACATTTTAAATTAGCTTTTATTTTATATTTTCCGCTTTCATTTTAGTTTTATTTTAAGCTTTAGTCTTTTTTTGTTGTTTATATACTGTATGTGTATATATATATATATATATATACTGTATATATATTATAGTTATAACATTTGGCTTTTATTTTTTTATTTAGATTTACTTAGATTTTCATTTTGTTAATTTATGTTACTTTAAGTACCTAAACTGAAGTTTTTTAAATTTAAATTAGCCAGTTCACATCTAAGTTGACTAAAGTTGAAGGACCACACTTCCTTCACAGCTACTAAAAATATACAACTCTTAATAGTTCCCTTCCCAAAAACGCTGTCATTTATAAACTACTGCTGTCTCTTCCTGACAATGCTGTCATATAACTTGTAATACTGTTGCATGGGCTATTTTCCTAGTGCTTGCCCTGATTTTGTGTGACATGTTCTTTGTCATGAATCCCTAGGGTTGTGTCAAATGAATATGGAGAGTGAAATATCTTGGAATTGTTTTGACGTTTTGGTTGTTTTGATACCTTCCAAATCATAGATGGTCCTTGAGATTGCCAACATCTCAACTGCTAGAGAAGCAGTGTCCAGATTTTGTGGAAATGAAACTTAATATGTTTTGAAAGTGATTGCATTCATCTGGAATGAACCTTATGTTTTCCTTTCACAGGAACTTTTCCCATCAGTCCTTGCTTATTATGGTATGCTGAGAGTTTTTAGCCATGCGTGTGGAGCTGAGTTTAGTGTGTGTGGCGTTAATGTGCGTTTTCAAACAGACGAACTCCTGTTTAATAATCAGCGAGGTCAACTGCGACAATCCCAAACTGGACACTCAGGAATTTGTGGAGCTGTTCTATGAAGGTACGAATCCTACTTCTCTTGATGGATACACACTTGTGTTCTACAACGGCAAAGTAGACTCTGCCTACCGGGTCATCGATCTGAGTGGACACCACACGGATCAGCAAGGTTTTTTCGTAGTTGGCTCTTCCAAACTGACTCCCCGTCCCGCCATCTCTCTTCCACCCAACTCTGTTCAGAATGGGCCCGACGCCATCGCGCTCTACGGCCCCAACTGGGTGCCGGTTGGCGAAGGGGAACTTGTTTCAGGAGTGGGGTTGCTGGACGCTGTTGTGTACACTTCACGTAGATCCGTAGATGGCGCCGACGGCCTTGCGTCCGTTCTGACTCCCGGCTCGGTCCCGTACGTGGAGGATGAGGCGGCTCTGGAGGGGGACGAGTCCATTCAGCGCTGCTGGCAGTCGGAAAACCTGTGGACGTTCTACACTGGCCCGCCGACCCCTGCGTGGGTCAATCACTGCCCGCCACCGACCCCTGCAGGGGTTTGGATCAATGAAGTCGACCTCAGTGGGCCGGACCGGCGGGGCAATGTGGAACTCAGTGTTGGCATGGCAACCGGATCATATTCTTTGGTGCTTTATGATGTTACTACGGATCTGATTAGCACGAGTGTGGAGTTCATCGCAAAAGAGCCTGGAATATTCGCCGTACCTGTGAATACTGCGAGTTTGTCAGGTAGTGTTGATTGGATACTTGTGGATAAACTCATTTAAGCAAACAATTCCAAATTTTTGTATTATTTATTTAGTATAGTATTTGTTAATTTTTTTTAGATTAGCTTTTATTTTAATATTTTCAGTTTTCATTTTAATTTTAGTTAAATTTGAGTATTTTTTTTAATGTGCTTTTGTCATTTTGTCATATTAGTTTTTTAAACATTTCTAATTAAGTTTAATTTATTTAATTTAGCTTCAATTATGTATTAGTTTTAGTAGTTTAAGTACTTAAAACTTTTATGTCAATTAGTTGCAAAAGACATTTCTAAATTTCAGTTTTTAAGGTAATGTTATATATATTCATCTAAAATTTATATTCATCTAAAATTGATCAAATTTATATTTATTTCAATTATTTTTATAGTTTTAGTTTAAATTAACAATAACAACACTGTTCCAAAATGTTGTTGAATAAAATCTTATTAATGTCCAGGTCACATATCACTTCCAAATCAAAAGAAAAAATATATATACATTATATTTTGCATAAAGTGAATGAAGTTCATTTTTAATACCATTTTAAACTAATTTTGTAAGATTTTTTCCCCATTATTTTCATGACAGCTATTCCCCCCTAAATTCTCATTACTATAATGCCAAAAAACAAAAACGTTGCTAAATTAATCCTGATGCAATAGTATTTTTATTAATCAGAAATTAAATGTTGTGCAGCACATACTACTTTGATGTATTCTTACAACTGTACATTATAAATGTACTGTACAGTTCAAATGTGCATGTGTATATATATATATATATATATATAGATATTATAATTGGTCATAAATTAAATATGTTTTCTTAAAATATAATTTATTTTTTATCTTTTGGTTTAGTGGTGAAATACGAATCGTACAAAAGCTTACTTCGAACTAAAACAATTTTTCAATGTAATATTTGCTCTTTCAGTGCCACAAAGTGCTGCATTGGCGTTGTATAAAGGCCCGGCATCAGACTTCCCTAAGGACGGCCCCCTCAGCCACGAACAGCCAATCGATGCCTTTGTTTACGGTGACTCCGCCCACATGCCCAGTGACAACCTCACAGAGACGCTCATACCGGGGAGGAAAGCCTTCATCCTCACAGACAGGTGATCAACACATGCGATACAATGCAGAATGCTTTATTGTGGCCTTTGTGTATTATAGTATGTGCTGTAATAATCCATGTTTGTATGCTGCAGTTTTCTCACAGCAGGTCTTCATGCCAGTCGCTGTGGTGTTGCCGAATGGACGAGAGATCCGGGACTGCTTGTAGCAAGGCCCCGGAGTCCCGGAAAACCCAATGACTGCATTTGGTTTCAGTCCTGCCCGCTTAACATGAGTAGGTTTTCGATTCATGTAGCAGAACTTACTTTCTCTACTAAGTTACAGTGATAAGTCATGCCTAAATGAAAATTGTGTCATCATTTGCTCATTCTCATGTTGTTCCAAACCTGCATGAGTTTCCTGCAGCTGTTGAACACAAAAGAAGATGTTGTAAAGAATGTCGGTAACCAAACAGTTGACGGTAGCCATTGACTTCCATAATATTTTTTTCCAATATATTGAAGTCAGTGGCTACCATCGAGTGTTTTTGGTTACCAACATTCTTCAAACAGGTTTGGAACAACTTGAGGGTGAGTAAATAATGACAGAAATTTCATTTTTGGGTGAACTATCCCTTTAAGGACACATTTTAGATGGCCTTTCATGTTTTTAATTTCATCTGGCTTGTCGTTTCAGCCTCTTTCACAGAGTCAGGACGGATCCAGCCCCCGATTCATAGCGATGTCGATTTCCTGCTTAACGAGATCAACACTGACTCACCAGGAGGAGCCGAGGACGAGGAGTTTATAGAGTTGTGGCATCCGTCTGGCTTCCGTATGTCGCTGGATTTCATCTGGCTGGTGATGATCAATGGACAGACTGGAAGGGTGTACTATGAGCTGGAGCTGAATGGATATTACACAGATGATGACGGATACTTCCTGGTGAGCTGATGCGTACTTGGACACTTGTGGCACAAATGAGTCATACGATTGAATTCCGATTAGAAGTATGTGTCAGCTGTAAAAGAAAAGGCAGTTAGCACTTTATGTACACTAGCGTTTAAAAGTTTGGGGTTGGGATGATTTTTGAATGTTTTTGAAAGAAGTCTTTTATGCTCACCAGGGTTGTATTTATTTAATAAAAAATACAGTAAAACAGTAATATTATGAAATATTATTACAATTTCAAATATCGGTTTTCTATGTGAATATATTTTAAAATGTAATTTATTCCTGTGATGCAAAGCTGAATTTTCAGCATCATTACCCCTGTCTTCAGTGTCACATGATCTTCAGAAATCCTTCTGATATGCTGATCCGCTGCTAAGAAACATTTGTTATTATTTTCAATGCTGTTTCATGATTCTTGATAAATAGAAAGTTTAAAAAACAGCACTTATTTGAAATAGATATCTTTTGTAGCATCTTTTGAATTTAATGCATCATTGCTGAATCAAAGTTTTAATTTCTTAAATAAAAACAATCTTACTGACCACAACTAAAAGGTTGAAGTAAAAAACATAACGTTACAACTGTTAATCTTTCTGAATCGGTTCTTCCAGATTGGCAGTTCAAAGGTCGGCCCTGACATTCGAATCTCATCGAACACTATTCAGAACGGACCGGATGCCATAGTGTTATATCGCAGCAAGTCTCCGCCCTCTGATGAGGGTCCGAATACTCCCAGAAACGGTTTGCTGGATGCGGTGGTTTACTGCACTCGTGGGTCTGATAAAAAGGTTTCAGAGCTAACGGAAGTGCTGACACCAGGACAGCTCCCGCTGCTGGAGGACATCAACGCGTTACCCGCTGACGAGACCCTCAGTCGATGTGGAACCGAGAGACTCAACCTCAATGCTTTCAGGGTGAGATCTAGTGTTTCCGTTCAAGGGAGCTTCATACAGAATTCTCATTGAAGCATACTTGATCTCATTGTGCCACTGCTTTAAGGAGACTTCAGGCAAAATTTTAACTTCAAGTGTAAAATGTTTAGGGGAATTCATAATTCCTTTGAGGTCTATTTCTATTTTATTTTATTTTTAGTTTAGTTTAGTAGAATTCAATTCATGAATTCATAATTCCTCTGGTCTGTTGCAGTTTTTATTTATTTGTGTGTGTGATTTTATTTTATATTATTTTATTTTAATTGGATTCATGAATTCATATGAGGTCTTTTGCATTTATTTTATTTTATTATTATTATTATTATTTTTTTTTTGTAATGCCTACTGTTTTATTAAAAATAATTTATATTATTTTTTTTAACTGTATACAGTATACGTTTTTCTAGCATTATTGCCGCAATTAAAAATAATTGTATTCATATTTTTAATTGTTATTCAAATTTAAAATGAACTTTTATTAAATAAAGAAGAAACAAAAATTACAGTCCTCTACAGAGGGATTGTAAACATATTGTCAAAGTCAAGAGCAAAACAATTGCCAGGAAAAAAATGTAATAATAGGAAAAATTAATCATAATAATAATCCATTTGAGAAAAAAATATTTTGGCAGTCTAATCTTATAATAAAGGAAAACATTTTTTTTTTATTCCAGTTGAGAAGTGTGATTACTGTATGTAATAATCAAGTTAAAGATGTTAAAAATCAGCAGTAACGGGTTGAGCAAATTGCATTGTGTACATTCTCCACCCATTGTGCGCTGGTTACAAACCACACATTTTGACAAAGGTAGTGGGTCGTCTTTGTAATTAATGCATGCGTAACATTAACTTCCTGTGCAGATTACACGTACTGCAAAAATAGTATATGACATTCCAAACATGGCAAGTAGCCAGTCACGGTTTATTCAGCAATCCTACTTTCTTAGGATTTAATGTCCATCAAATGTTACATTAACCCTCCATGTGTCCACAGGTCACTTCTCCCACACCAAGGAAGCAGAATAACTGTCCCCCAAAACCCACTATACCCTCGCAGGGTCTCATCATCAATGAATGGGGCAAGACGTCCGGGGTAAACCAGTCTCAGGAGAGTTTATTTGTGGAGCTGACTGGCCCGCCGTCGACTCCACTGAATGGACTTGTTTTGGTGTTTTTTGGGGAAGACGCTACAGAATTGAACGTCCCGATCGCTGGCAGCACAGGAAGTGACGGGCTTTATCTGGTCGCCAACGATTCTCGTGCAGGTGCGTGTGTTTGATCTGGAAATGTCTTCTGTGTGAGGCACAGCTGGATTTGTTCGAATAGAAATAGACTGATGTGTCTTGATATACAGCCAGAGATCATCTTTGGTCACTGAAACATTTTTTTCCCATTCTTTTTGACTTTCTGAAAATTAAAAAGTAAAGACCAACCAGCTTTGAGATGAATCACAGTATTACACAGTTTGATTTGAAGCAGAATGAAAAGCAGAGAAAACATGAAAAAAGTACCAGGCTGCGTACTTTAAATCTTTTATTAGTGAATAAACTTTTTATCACATGAAATATTATTAAAGACATATGAAATTATGTTGGTCGTTGGTTTTAAGTATAAATTTAAATGTATTAGTAAATATTCAATTATATACAAAAAAGTAGTTTGGGAGTGTAATAGTGTTTCTTTGTCTTTAGTATTGTTGATACTCTATCAAAGTTTACATTTTATTATTATTATTCATTTATTTTTCATTTTTTTAATCATTTATTTTTTTATTATTTTAATTGTTTTATAATTTTTTTTAATATTTGATTTTTATTTTTGTTTAGATTTAAATTTTTTAAATTTTTTAATTTTATTATTTGTTGAGTGTTTGATTTTTTTTTTGAGTATTTTAATTACTTTTTGTATTTGATATATTGTTTATTTATTTTTAATTAATGTCTTGCTCAAAATTTTACTAATAAACATGATTTTTTAAATGAAATTGACGCATAAATTGCCAACCTCAAATAAAATATAATAAATATATGTAACATTTCTCTATGAATTGGATTATTGGATTATGACTGTTGTTCTCTAAGGCAATCAGTGATTTCAATTAAATAGCAGAGAAATTCTAAGAAGTCAAATTAATTTGTTTGCTCATTCATCTTTGTGTTTGTGCAGATCAGGGTTTGCCAGCACTTGGTCATTTGGGTGCAGTGCTTTTGTGTTTTGAGCCGTCAGGATCAGGATTTTGTGGGAGCGACTCGCGTCATTTGGACTGGCTAGTTTTTTCCGATGACCCAAAGTTACAGAGACTTCTCCAGCACAACATGACGCGCTTCGTATACACACTCTTCAGGTTCGTTTGGGAGCTTTTTGAATGTGAATCCAGTGTGTTGTTGCTGGTGTCAGCAGTTTTGTACACCGTGCACATAACTGGCTGTGTTTTTATGCTATTAGTGGGGATTCTTTATCTCGATGTGCATCAGACGGGCCTGTTTTCTGGATCGCATCCCAGCCGACTCCACGCCTGCCGAACCGCTGCCCGAGTCCCGCCTTCTCCAGCTCCACGGATCTGTGCCTGCAGCCGGAAAATAATAACTGGCAGAGCGGATCAGGAAGTAAGTGTTTTTTAAAGGGATTGTTCTCATGTCCAAGTGTGGTTTGCTGCAGTTTTTTTCCATGTAACACAAATTATTTTGGAAAATCTTTGCACAGCGGAAAATAACACAGTTCTGCATGTTGGGAAAAACATTATGCTGGTTTCCAAACAAGGACTAATATTACCTAATTTGATGCTGATTTCAAAAATATCAATGAAAACTTTCCATCATGTACAATTTTTTTTCACAAAATAAGAATGAAGATTATTCAAATGTCTCTCTCTCTCTCTCTGGCTCTATATATATATATATATTTATAATTGGAGAAATCATCATTGACCAACACACACACACACACACACACACACATACACATATATATATATATATATACAAAAAATATATATATATATATATATTAGTGTTGTCAAAATTAACGCTTTATGCAATTAATTTTTTTTATTTGATATACTGTGCTAGTAGCACGTGCTCTTCAATTGCACACACAAAAACGGCGGCGCGCACTGAATATAATTTCATATTAAAACGCAAAAGAAACTAAGAGCATGCAATGTTGTAGTTATGTTGTTAAGTCATGAAGTTAGGCGATTAAAGCTGCACTTAAACTGTGCATGTAAGTATTTGTTATATATGAGTCAGATTTCAGAACATGTCTCTGAAATGCAGTGGTTTTCAAAACTGTCGTGGAGCAGCAGCACTGTCTCCCTCATCTGACACACTCGATTCAACTCCTCAGCTCTTTAGTGGGTCAGAAAAGGTAAAGCGTTGAGAAAATAGGATGCGTGTCAGATCCGCGTCATGTTCAGCAGCAGCAGCAGCAGCTCTTAAAGCAGCCAAAATAACCTCATAACCAGCTGCTGTGATATCTGTTCATCAAAGAACAAAAGAGGAAATCAGTCACTTTAGTACTTATAAGAATTCATCTATATTCAATCTAGAATTTAGTGTTTGATAACTTCATTCTATTTCTGTATATTTCCTACTTGCTGAAGAGCACAGGTAAATATGACATGTATTATAATGGGTTTATGTGAAGTTGTTATTTTTTAAAGTCTAATAAATGTTAAAATTGATAGCCCTTAATTATACTGTAGTGTTGAATGGTTATAATCAATGGTTAAATATTTGGAAAAAAACAAAAGAGTTTCCTAGAGACATCAGTAGTATTGGTATCAGTGATCTCTCATAAAAGAGATGCCATTAAACAAATATTTAAAAAATACTGTTATTATGTTGGTTCTACATTAATTTGAAGATTGAATGTGAAATTATTGCAATATAAAAGTATATATTTAAAAACTTTAATGTTAGGTGAGATTAATCACAATTAATTTCAGAAAAAATGTGTGATTGATTAGTGTAATATGTATGCACTAATATGTAAATATATATATATATATATATATATATATATATATATATATATATATATATATATAT